TTGCACATGCGTACAACCTGCCGCGCTTCATTCGTGAACAGAAACTACAGATGGATTCACAAACGGTAAGCTGGGCGGCCTGTTGAATAATACCTGATGAAAAAAAAAAAACATTTCTAGACACTCACTCTTATCTAATGCATGTATTTTGTAGTTTCGATGACTGAACTGCAGATTAAAAATGATTATGAAAGCGATCTTCGCAGTAATGAAAACTAGTTAAGCACTGGTGAAAGTACGGGATTTAAATCCAGGACCTCTGCATGCGATACCGGTGCAGTGCTCTACCAACTGAGTTAACAAGCCAATTGAGAGCTGGTCATTGTGTTGGTTCGTAATAAACCCGTGAAGTGATGCATCAATGGTTTTTCAAAACACAAAAATCATATATGTGAACTGCGGTTCAAGAAATGATTATGAAAGCGATCTTCGCAGTAATGAACACCATTTACGCAGAGCACTACTTAAGCAGCAGTGAATATAAGATCGCTTTCATAATCATTATTTTGTTGTTTTGCAACACATAAATTTTGCTGGAGAAATAATACATAGCCCCGTCACTTACCTTGCTCTTCAAAGAAGTAAGGAACACCAAGAGCTGCTAAATACTGAACCAAAGGTTTTGGATCATACCCAGGTGACTGAGGATCTACGGTTGCAGCTCCAAGCTCGAAATTAATGCCCTAAAAATGACATAAAATCACACGTTAATAAACAACGAATCTCGGCTTCATTTTTAGAAGTTCTAAATATACAGTAGAGATAGTGAAAGTCACATTTGAGAAATCCAAGCTGTTATAATCTGATTTAGGCCCTCAGTCTGTGGGGACGAGTGAAAGAACGTCACGAGCGAAAGAGCGTCACTAGCGAAAAAGCGTCACGAGCGAAAGAGCGTCACGAGCGAGTGAAATACGTGGGGTACTATAGAAAGTATTTATTACTCCTTCCCAAAGACATTGCCACCGATTTACGCTCGCCAATTAGCGCCCCTTTTTTGCGGCCCAAATTTTAAATAAGCAGCCGGGCGCTTATTCGAGGAAATACGGCAAAGATATTCAAATATGATAGAACTTTGTGAGGGCAAACCTTAGATCTGCTATAGAACTGATATTGGCGTAACGTGTGCAGTAAAGAGAGCGAGTCTTTGCCTCCTGATAGACACACCATCACCCGGTCTCCATCACGAATCATGTCGTACTCTTCTAGGGCCTGAAAAAGCAAAACTTCATGAGCTCTTGGACCCCTTGGAGTGACCAGCATCTAATTTCTCCTTATAAAATCACCCCTGAATCACACATTTTGGTCATGAGAATAGAGGAAATGATCACCAACCAAAGAAGTTCGTGATTGTTAAGCAAATTCTCCTTATCAGCACCTCAGGAAATGTATAGAGAACAGAAGGGAGAATTTGCATACTGATGTTAGGGTGTAAAGGGTTAACGGAGCAAAGAAGTACACTAGCATCTAAAGAATTCAACAGATAATTCACTTCGAGTTTTGAAAATATGTTGCTCAGAACAGAAGGTCAGAGAAAAACTACTGATATCTTTTATCGTTGTTTAAGTACCCGTAGTAGTCAGGGGCATAACATTAGTTATATTAGTTTTGGATGTGCCCCGCTCCTCCTCGGTAACATTCGATTGATAGGTACTAAAGTGGAGAAAGTGTAAATAACAGAAATTCAATTTCAATTTCTCACCTCTAAAGTCGGCTTAAAAATGCTCTTTGGCGGATGATGGAACTGCGGTTTTCCAGTCACAACTTCTTTTTGTTTGTTCTTTCTCGGTTTTCTTTGGCAAACTGTTTTAAAACTCGCCGAGGCGTCCTCATTTCCGGAAATTATCTTACTTTCAGACGAAGACTTTGCTACTGAATTAAGACCGGCGTCGGCAAATATTGTTTTCGTTTTCTCGCAGTCAACAAGAGACTCGGCCGGTTTCTTGTGGAGTCTATTAGAGTTATTTGCTATACTACTTTCGGGTGATTTTTCCTTTTTGGAAATGGGAATGGAATCATTCTCAAAGGATTTTATTCCATGAGTTCTCTCTTCCAATACTGTGTTATCTCCATGTTCTGTATCTACACTTCCAGCCTCAAATTTCGTCGAATAACATTTGTCAGCTTGGCCCGAATTAACGCGTAAACTTACTGCTGAATCTAAAATTTCATCCATACACAGCAGGGTGGAAATATCCTTGTCTGCAATGTTATCGTAGTTATCACTCATATTTGATGATAAATCGTCTATGATTGGACCGTTAACTTGACCCATAACAGTTCTACAGTCTTCAGCACCTTTAATATCATTGCTATTTTCTTCGCGGAATACGTGACTTTCAGGTGACTCCAAGGTACAGTTTTCCATGGGGCTCACAAAAGTCCCATTAAAAGACTCGAAGCACTTGGCACCACAGGAATCAGCTCCGGCAAGGACATGAGCACTATTATTCCACTGTGGCGGAGAAAATGGTGGCGTCATTGGAAAATGGGCGGGAGCTTTCCCACCCAACAGCTGCGCCGCTTCACTGGGAAGTAGAAACCAGCGGTATCTTTCACCTTCTTCACCGAACAGTAATGTCTGATCGCCAACACTATTAATAAGCTGAAAAGAAAATGATCAATGAATATTTTCTACTTAGAACAAAAGATACAGTTTGATTCGACACCACATTCTCAAAGCTGAAATCATACAGATGACATGGCAGACAGTAAGGAGAATTACTATTGAGACCTTGTGAGTTAAAAGGTCAATTTTCTTTAACCCTTGAACTCCCATGAGTGACCAAGACAGATTTCATCCCTACATTATTAAACAGACGAGTGATGGGATTAAAGAAACATGAAAATCTGGGAGTTAATGAGTTGATCCATAACCAGGTTCTCCGAACTAACATCATAAGAATTTTATGGAAGACAGTGTGGAGAATTACTAATGAGATCTCAGGAGTGAAAGGGTTCAGGTATGAAAATCGCGATTACAGCTTCACCTACTGGACTGGTTTGCCCACTGCATCGAAAAGTGAAATTAAAATGTTTCTACAACAAAAGGTTGTGTTAATCTTCGTTCACAATGATGTCACAATGAAGAGTAAACTAAAAAGGAAACAATTTATTGACAGTACCCTGTCCGTGGTTGCTTTACGGAATATTTCTTCAGCTTGCGAGAGACATTCCTACACAAGAGTAGAGAAAGTACACGTTCACGTATTAAAACAAACCACTTGAACAATCATCTTTCCCGGTTACGATATCGATTCTGGAATTTGCCTGGCTTCTGCAATGGATCGCTCCTGAAGTCCTAGATCAATTTCAATTAAGGGTATACAACGATACACGATTGCATTGATTTTGCTTAAGTCCGCCCTAAGAAAACTGGCGTTATTCCCTAAGCCAATCAGATACAATGTTAATAAAATCCACCGCAACTTAGTTACAAGGCTTCCTAGCGCCATAGACAGTTTACAGTCGAAATGGTTTCTGTTAACTCAGTTTTGTCAATAATGTAAGTCAAATGGGCCGAAATGTGGACAATCAACCGCAAACCAGAATGTGTGCGCATCATCCAAGTGACGTACTAAGCAAATTGGCGAATAGGAGAACCGAACACACATTGCCATTGAACATTGCCAACAAAAAGCTCTTTAGTATTACCGAATAAGAACATGGAGGCTCTTTCCCAATCAGAGAGGATGATGGGTAAGTCATGTGACCCTCTGAATAAGAGATTGACCCAAGCCACTTCCGGTCGCGGAACACCTGTAATATTTTTGAAGAGCACTGTTAACAGGTGAACTACAGTACAACCACTATAATTCACAGTGGAAATCACAACGAACCATCAGGTATACAGCAGGTCTTGCACGTGCATCTTACTGGTATTATACAGGGGGAGGGTCGGAAAGCACTTTGTTGACGCAGGGAAGGGGAGGTCTCATGAACACTGTTATCCATTGGCTAAGCTCTTGCTGATTTGTAACTTAACCAATAAAACCACACTAACACGCATGCACATGAAATGTATGCACGTGTTACGCGCGATGTGACATGTGCATATCAACCGTACGTGGACCAATGGGTTTGATCAACCGCGTCAGAAATTCTTTTAAAAACCTTTGTAACAATAAAATAAAATAAAATAAAAATATTAAGCCAAATTATCAGTCCTCCCTTTGACAGATACCTACAAAAAAAGGAAACAAACTAACAAGGTGGGATTTCTCACCTTTCATCCTACGTCAAAGCAAAAAGCTACAAGTGAGCAAGCAAACAAAAAAAACAAACAAATATCTATATAAGGGAGTCACCTGGTGTTTCCTGTGTTTCCATTCTCCCGTCTCAGGGTTGAACATATACTAAACATAGGAGAGAGACAGACAAGCGCTTTACTTTAATACAACACATCGCTTCGTATAACAAGAATGTTATTTCTGATTGGGCGAGCACGAAATGTAATTAAGGGAACTGTGAAAGAGATACAAAAACTGGTGAATTGTCTAAAGCGCGGGTAAACGGGGGTTACCAAGTCCGAATGGTTTTTAAACTCACGCCACCCTCTCGACCAATCAGATGCAAAACTTAAACCATTCGCACACTTGTCATTTGCATTTTCCCGCGCTTCAAGTAGTTTGCCCGTTTTTACTCCGGGCACTCATTGGCTGTCAATGGTTAAAACCTTTGTTTCGTTCGGCCGTTGTAATCAATTTGGTTTTGGCTTTCCGACACGCACTAATAAAAACTGTTGCAACTGATGAGGCCCGTTACCTGCGGAAGAAGCGTCCAGCCGTGTTCGGCCACCATCTCCACCGCTTTGAGAACAAATTCAACGGCATCGTGCGACATAAAATACGGCAAATTGAGACGAACAAAACCTGGCCTAAAAAAAGTGAGAAAAATTCATAAGGTGGTGAGGTTATATGTCAAGTTGTATTGAATTTTCCATTGTCTCGTTGCTCCTTTGTTGATCCAAGAGAACATGATGGATAATTTCATTTGGTTCAAAAATTTCAAAGCGACGTTTGAGTAACCTTTAATTTCACGTGAACGCCTAACAACTCCATGACATAGTTCAGTTCCACGGGCATGACTGGTAAACTGCCCTATCACATGGGCCATTTCAAGCATGACGCGTAATACTGATTAACAGTGACGTTTAAAGCTCGTAGTTTTTATTACAAAAGAAAAACAAACAGGGAATAAAAACTAACCTTAAAATTTCTCGTTCGGAGTATTCGTGGTATCTTCGAAGGTGAACTCTGTCCAAACGACTATTGACGAAGAAAGAAGACAGAAAAAATGGATTCTGCCCGCCATAATTTTTATTTTTTGGGTGCCTTGATTTTTATTTCACTGCCTTTAAGTTTAAGGAACATTAATTCTAGAGTTTTCTTTAGAAAAACCCTAGACGATTATTACATGTAATTCCTATTGTAGGTTAAACAGTTTTTAATTTGGTGTATTTTTGCTTTAGTAGGTACTATCTTATACATATTTCAATAATTTTTTATTTCTTAGTTTGAATTATTAATCAGCGGGACCCCGTAGGTAATGGTACTTTGTATTGAAGGGTTATCCTGGATAAATATTTCGATTACTATTATCATTGTTATAGTTAATCATTTTGGACACATAATAGTTTCGAAAATACAGTGCTTTTGAAAATAAGTGAGTCGAACCCTGCCAACTTCCCATATGTTTTCAACTGGTATTAGTACTGAGTTAAGGATCATATTAATACAACAGCACACCTGTCTTCCAAAAGAAGGTCTTCAATCTCTTTTGCCAGTTTCTCATCTATACCTAAAAGATTCTTTAAAAAAGATCAACACATGAGCATTAAATTCATTTTTTATGAGCTAACCCCATTTCTCGAAGTTCAAATCGTGAGTCTATTAGACAAGAATCACGAGAAGCCTGATGAATTGGCTGGAGGGTAATCTTACCATAGACAAGCATCCCAAGAGAGAGAAGTAATAGTGCTAAAGATTCCTACCCGGTCCTGTCCGATGTCCGGTGTTTCATGCTATGGAAACCGGTATAAGCTCGGGCTGGACGGGCCATTTGAGCACAGACTTAACTTACCTACTTTCGAGACAAGAATCATTTAGAGAAAAGCTCACTTTTGAGTTACTGTCATTAGTTTTAGCAAAGGCAAAATGTGGCATCTTTCAGAGCAAATATGTAGAAAAGCGAAGCTCACTGTTGGTCGTCATAATTTATTTCAAGTTAAAAAACAGCGGGCACCTGTGCATAAGGGCCCGCACAAGCACAGCCTCCACGGGCCTGTATTCCAAACACGTCATTGAGTAGGGCACACACGTAGTTGTGATGTAAGAACACTCCAGAATATGGATCCTTGATGAGGAATGAGAAAATGGGAAGTCGAGGGACTGATGTGTTTCCCAGAAGAACAATATTTCTGTTGTTACTCCAGATGGCCAGTGCTCTCCTATTCGGGTAAAAGCATAAATATGCTTCATTCTTTTTAAACTTCTAAAATATTCTACATGTACTTTTCTTTGAGAGGGATAAAAGTTGCGATTCAGAGCTTTTTGTATTTCCTAGTGATGAGCACATATTTTGACATTTATCTTAATAAAATAATTCTTCTGTAGCTATTTCAATACTGAATGACGAACCTGCATAAATCTTCCTCGATGCCCATAATGCTCTCTGAACCGATGTCCTAACGGAGACATGAGACAGTCAATCGTGAACCAGTTAGTGTTTAAAGAATGTAGAAACAACTGACTAGTTTGTAAATAGATCTTGAAAACCAAATGCAAGAGCAAATTTCAGAACAGATTTTCATTGGACAAGAAAGATGGAACTGATAGCGGAGCTCGCAGAGCGTAGCCCCATAATAATACAAAATAGTAGTAACCCATCAAGCCGAAAAAAATCTGGATGTACGACCGTACGACCGTACGACTGTACGACCGACCGCACAAGGTGCTACTTTTAGCATGCGCAGTCAACTGTACCTCAGGCACTATCTTATAATCAGTCCTCTACACGGACACAGAGAAGTTGCGAATGAAAATCCATTAATATTATCACGCACTTTATCCATAGCAGGGGCTTTAGTTTTGTTGAAGAGACGTGCGGGGAAAAAAATGCGAGCTCCGCTTTTAGGCTTTCCTAAATCTATATATTATTCAAGTACAAATAATCAGACTGTCATAGTTTAGTGCACTTACAATGCGTGATGCGTGGTGCGTGGTGTGTGGTACGTGATGCGTGTGCGTGTGCATGGAAAGGTGAGTTATAAAAATGGTGAAATACAGTGACCTCACTCATGGTTTCTTTTACACACGGACCTGACAGTCGGCAAATGTTAATGATTTCCTATCGCCATTATTTCACTTTCGAGGATTAAATCGTGCTCTCGAATAATTATTTCACTTTCGAGGATTACATCGTGCTCTCGAATAATTACTTGAGTGTTTCGAAACTAGATACTAGATAAGCGGAACTTGAAAATCGAAACTCGAAACCCTACTCTCGATTCTCAACACTTTCGAGAATCTAGGACTGAGTTTCGAGTCGAGATAGTCATCTACCTTTGAGAGTCAATTTATCTCGCTTTGAATGAACAGGCCTGGCCGACCATATGCGACTTATGGTGAGCGGCATTAGATTACAGCATTTGTAGAAGGGATTGTCGACTTAAAGGAGTCCTTCGTTAGCATCTAATTGGCACTTTTTGTACCTGTTTCAGTTGAAAGGCAAGACCGGCTCGCACGGAACCTACAATGGCTGGAGTGCCAGCTTCTTCTCTCGTCTCAATCTCTTTCAGGTATCTGTGGCTGTTCTCTGTAACCTAAACATACAATACAAGCGGTAAAAACGCTTGGTCGTTATACGTTGAATTGTTCATAATTCTGATGCAAATTAAAAAAAACAACAATCACCACAAACTTCGAAGAGACAACAACATACTAGTTTAGTGGGGGAAAAACGTCATAAACAAATTAATTACATAATATTTTGACCTTGTAAACAAATGATCCTCCCACACATTGTGTAATCGTATTTCACGCTTGGAAAGAATTCAAGCTTTGACAGAGTTCGAATCCCTGATAGACACGGTTGACTGACCTACCAGAGGCCATATGTTGTGAGCGATGAAAAGTTTAGTGAGGTTTCTATCCTCTAAGTAAAGCGTGATTCATGTTAATTATTTTTAATTAGAATCGTTTTTAGGGGGGACAAAATTAGCTAGCATTTTCAAAATGTGCAAAGTATGGTTCTTTTCTACTTTTTAACTACACGTCAGCTTTATTAAGGATCAATTTTTTTCTCGAACCAGATAAAATTTGGGATCAGTGCCAGTATCTGAGCAACTAACCCACCTACCCCTCCCCTAATCCAACAAAAGTCAACTAATAACAAGTTAGAGTTAATGTTGGGTTAGGAGAGGGGTAGGGACACAGTTGCCCAGACACTGATTTTTACTAGAAACTTTTTGCACTTACAAAAAACACAGAGCCACCTCCACAACCTGATGGGACAGGGTTCACAAACAAATTCTTTTTTGCCACAAGGATACCTGTGAATAATCAGCACAAGAAATCAGGTGAGAAATTGCAGACAGATCACACTATGGGTTTGTGATTAATAACTGTTGACATGAGACGAACAAAATCTATGGAATTTTTTTGTCACAAAATTACTTTTTTCCAGTCAAAAGTAGTTTTGCAAGTAGTAGATGCTTTAAACAGCCCATGAAGGTGAAAAAAATTCCATAAATGCGTCAATTAACATTTCATGTAGCTTCATTGAGATATTCAGACCAAGTTGTAAGAAGGATAATTATGCAATTTTCAGAGCTTTATTCACAACCCTCCTAGATTCTGTTCATCTACTGACAACAATTATTGACCACAAAAACACATGTGTGGTCTGCCTGTGGAGAAACTGCACATAACTTGTAGACTGGTGACATACTGGTTTAAAAATCTGTCATAGTCCTTGTAATGATGTTTCAGTTTACAAATTTAGCCCTTTAACTCCCAAGATCTGATTGATAATTCTCCCCTCTAGCTGCTGCACATTTCTTTGTGAATTAGTTATGAGAATTTGGTGTTAGATCAAGAAAACAACTTCTACCTAATGCATTTGAATATTCTCGTTACCTGTTTGTTGGATAGTGAATGGATATTTTAGGGAGAAGTTACTTGTTAATCATTTCTGGGAGTTTAAGGGTTAAGCCAAATCAATCCTCACCTGGACTCTCTACACCGCCCACAAATTTGTGCACTGAAATGAAAATTGCATCCTTGTAGACAAGTCCTTGGTCATCACTACATGAAATAAAAGTTGTTGGACAGGAAATTATATGAAGCATGGTTTAAGAATGTTTGAGGGCAGAGAGTAGAAGGTAACCTTTTTCAGTTAACCCTTTCACTCCCAAGATCTAATTAGTAATTCTCCTTACTATCTGCCATACAATTCTTATGATGTTAGTTCAGAGAATTGGTATTGGATCAACTAATAATCCCATAATTGATATTCTTCTCTATTTTCATCACCTGCCTGCTTGATATTGTATTGATATTGTGAGGAGAAATTCTGTCTTGGTCACTTATGGGAGTCAAAGGGTTAAAAATTGATTATCCCAGCCAACTACTGAGTTGGTACAAATAAATGATGATTACTGACTTTTTACTAGCATAGCTGATAGCTTCAGAAAATAAATAGTTCATTCAGGTACCATTGCAATTCTCAAATTGTAAAGTTTAGTATAAACCAATGAATGTCACCATAAGATTGAAAGAAAAAAATTCATTTTTTACCTTCTATCACAAATCTCCTACCTGCATTTATCACTTAAGGCTAATCTGCTTACGTGATTGATCATTGGCTAAAAGACTGGTGACTCAAAAGGGACATAAAACAGTACATAGAAACATATGCACTCTTGCATTACCTGGTTACCAAAGGATTCATGTTGATTTCAGCATAGGGACCTGTAAAGCAAAACACAAAATACAAAATAGGCTTGTAAAAAAAGTGATGGTAAAATTCTAGCCTTTGAACAGTATTGATCCTGTCAATATACTGGATTCACACCACCTGAATTCATTCCACCTGAAATGGTCTGTAGCTGCTATAACTCACCAAAGAGGTCCTATGACTCAGTAGTGAGCATTGGAGAGCAGAATCCCAAGGTCTGCAATTGGATTCCTCATGGGAATGCAATAATTTTTTCTTTGTCCCATGTTTGCGACAAGACAAAGAAACATCTGTCTCGAAATGTGGTTGTCAATCATTTCAAGTCTGATCATGCATCAGTGTCTGTAGTAATGATGGGCATTTTGACCAACTGAATGGAATTTGTCACCAGCATGCATATGGAATGTAAATGTTGTATATCAGATGCCAAAAGACTAGTCAGCTCAGTCATGATGTTCTTGGCTGCAAGATTCATGAGGCATTTGTGAACAGTCACTGATTAATTGTACACAACATCTTTCATAACTTAAAGTAATTACCTGCTGTAGCATAATCCCAAAAGGCCAGTGCACCATGTCTGTGCAGAGAGGCAGTTACAGCATCAGTGTCTGTTAGAATTCCTGTCACATTAGAGGCTGCTGAGAAACAACCAATCAACTGCCTGCTTTTGGAAGAGTAAACCTAAACAGAAAGACAAAAAAGATTGATTTGGCAATGACATAAAAACACATGGTTACAAAAATAAAATTTTGAATACAATCGACAAGTTAAGTTTAGTTCTAATTTATATTACCTTGAAACAAATTTAAAAGATATACATCCAACCAAACAACTATGCAGAGAAAACATTATTCAGTGTTTCCCTTAGAGCTACTTAATTCTAGTTTCAGAAAAAGGTAAAACTATAAAAAAAAATGTAAAAAAAACAATCATCCATCAGTTATAAAAACTGAGTTTCAAGAGACATTCTTTCTCATATAAATAGCTAAATTAAATATTCTTTAAGCTTATGTTACCACATACCCTAAGTTTGAATTCCAAGTCTAACAGATCAACTAAGCCTTCTGAGTTCTGATGAATCCACACAACCTTGCAATCAAACATTGAACAAATTTTATGAAATCATGTCCTTAGGAATTTAGAAAGTTTTTGACCAATAATAGAGCTGTCAACAAACTTAATGAACAGTTATTGTTAGGAAAATAATTATTCCTTTAAGTAAACACACAATTTGCAGCTATCAACAATGCCACAGGTTTATAAGGTTTTTAAAACCTAACTGGAAAGGGGCTCTTCTGAGAAGAGACTGTAGCTTCTCTAAACTTTAAGGTTCAACCCAAACCACTGGAACCAGAGTCCAGAGTACTCATGATTGGGTAACTATCCTCAACCTTTTCTTTCACACAAGTGATTAACATGTAACTTCTTCCTATAACATACAAACATTATCAAGCAAACAGGTAATGAGGATACCAGTACTTAAATTTATCAGGAAGAAGTTGTTGCAATCTATCAGCAAAATTCTCAAAACTGATTTACAAGAAAATGTGTAACAGCAAGAGGGGAGAATTAATAATCAGATCTTAGGAGTTAAATGCCTGGTTATTGTACTATCAGTCTATTGTCTATCTCCCTAGTTACAAGTGAAAGTTTGAATTTCTGTTACACTCCTTCTCACCTCAGCTCCTACTTCTTTCCATGGAAGGAGGTTCGAATGATGCTCAAATGGTCCAACAAAGACTATCTGAAAAAATAAAAATATTTGAGAAGAATGTTTAAAAATTATCCAGTAAACAGGTAATGACCATATTCTGAAACTTAGCTGGTACAAGTTGTTATCTTGATTTGACACCAAACCACCATTTATAATGGTAATAGGATCGAATGGAGTCCAATTCAGTCTGTAATCATATGAGTGATTCACAAAATCAGACAACTGCAAAGTGGGAGTCCAATTTGTTTATCATGAGTATGATTACAGACAGAATTGGACCACACAAAGTGCTGTTTCCAATTAATCAAAACTATGACAAAATTTGAGAAAGAAACTAGACATGGGTTGTACGTTTTCATAAAAAAATCCACAGTTAATTCGGTGAAATGCAAGACAACAGTGCGTGCTCATGACGCGTTCTGTCCACTTACATGGGTATGATGTCAGTTAACTGTCTCTTTAACTGTCCTATTACACTGTCCAATTATAAGCATGACACATACACTGTACTATTAAAGCTCAAACCAGGCTAGTGATAACCAATCAAGTTTGAGAATTTTGTAATAGTTTTGCTTAACATGGAAAATAATGATAGCAGCTAGATGAGGGAATTAACAATTAGATCTTGGGAGTTAAGAGGTTAAAATTTTGAAACAAAAAACTTAATGACAAGACGGGTTTTACTTCAAATGTCATCAAATCTCTTATGCCTTATGTCCAAGAAAAATTCACCAAGTTAGATAAGGGCATCCAATCTTTGATGAAATTAAATGCATTTAGTAATAACTCACTGGGGGTTGTTTCAAGTCTAAAGCATGAATCAACTTGTGAACAGCTGCTGTTGCACCACTCCCAACAAACACAACAGAATCATTCTCACTGGCATTCACAGCATTCCTGATAATATCCCTAACAATGAAATAATAACAATGTGACAATTAAATAATCTAGATTTCAAATTATTCAAATTTAAGAAATTTAATCAAAATCCAACAAAAAAATGAAAGTATTTGAGGGAAAAGACAAACAAAACCAACAAAACAAAAAGATAACTAAGTCGCAATCGGTTTTAGTCTTAACCCTTTACACCCTTATATCAGTATGCACATTCTCCATACTGTTTTCTAGACATTTCTTAACCCTTTAACTCCCAAGATCTGATTGTTAATTCTCCCCTATAGCTGCTACACATTTCCTTGCAAATTAGTAAAGAGAAGTTGGTGTTCAATCAAGGTAATATCTTGTATCTAATGAGTTTGAGTATTCTCATTACCTGTTTGCTGAATAATATGTAGATACTATAGGGAGAAGTTACATGTTTATCACTTCTGGGGGTTACAGGGCTAAGGCACTGACAAGGAGAATTTGTATAACAATCAAGAGTTTCTTTGTCCCACGCTCACAACAAGACAGAAAACATCTTTCTCTATTTCTTTACCAAGCTAAAAACTTACCATGTCTCTTGTTCTATTTACAAATCAAGAGCTTCTTTAGTTAGTTATTGTCTCCTTTATTTTCCAAGACTTAAACATTTGATTTTGGGACAGTATCTAGGCAACTCCCCACCTGCCCCTCCCCTAAACCCAACATTAACCCTAACTTGTTATCAATTGACTGCTGAAGGGTTAGGGGAGAGGTAGGTGGGCAGTTGCCCAGATACTGATATTGATTCCAATATTGTAAGGAGAATTTAAACGCTTGTCACTCTTATCAGAGGTCAGAGGGTTAAGAGAACAGCACAAGTATTCTTGACAAATTATCGCACAGGGAAGTGAAACAAAACCAATGCAATCCTCAATCACTTTCAAGAGACTCAACTGAAAATCACTCTTCAATTCAAAATTGCCATTTACCTTGCTTCATGACGATACAAAGTGGTTTGTAATGAGGTCACAGTGGTCGTTGTGTGTGTGTTACCGTAATGGGGCAAGACCTGCTCTCTGATATAATCCTCAATGAATGTCAGGGACCTAAAACAGGACAGAATGATCATCAGTTGCTCCTTAACCATGGTCCTTCCTACCCTGTCATTTTGTGTTCAGCTTGGTTGATTCATACCCAGTCAGTTGAGTTGTTTTGTATCCAAACCAACAAAAAATGTTTTCCATGTTAACTATGTCTAAAGTAAGAATAATATTCTTATAATGAATAAATGAGAATAAACAAATTTATTATCATTAATAACAAAAGGAGAAAAAATTTACACTTCCACTAGCTGTTATTGTTAAGAAAGTTACAGTATAAAGAATATCTTAAGAATGTTGTTAGTATTTTTAAGGTAAAATTTCCGCACAGCCCCATACTATTGTAAAACAAATCTGTTTTCCCAATGGCAATGTATTGTTTTGGTCATTGTTTTCTCTCTATCCAAGAACTGAATGCATAATGTAGTATGGGGCTGTGCAGCAATTTTACTTTTTAAAATATTACACCATTAATGAACCTTGAACTAGGCAATCATTTATTGCTTTTTTTAAGAAGGTCACAAGTGTAAGTAACAGAATTCTGCTTGTGTTTTACTCTCATGACTCTACTAACTTATCGTAAGTAAGAATCAACATCTGTTCATGCACACGTGCATGAGGACTATTAATTGTAGAAATCAGAATACTAGGTTGGGTACAAATCAACCAGTAGTTTGGGTACGAACCAACTTAAACCTGGGTACAAAGCGACTGACGGAGTATGCCTCCTGAAGTGTATGCCTCCATAACCCCCACCATCACCACGAGATGGGTGATGCCGACGCCGTCAAAATCACCGCCTATGCGGTCTAAAATCTCACTCCTTGGCAGCGAGACAAATTGAGAGCTCTGGGTTTATGATGCAACATGACATATACTGTACGTGTACCTTGTCTTCTAAATGGGAAATGATCATTATCTGAGTGTTTTCAGATGCGTGTTCTCGCGAGCATACTGATTAGTGCACGATATCATACCTTCCCGATGCTGTGTAGTCACAATAAGTCACTGTAGATGATAAAGAAAATAAATCTTGTCTTAAGAACTAATGGAGCAATCTCGAATCCAAGTTACATTAGAAATTTACAAATTAGTACGAACGACATACACACCATTTCTTCGCCCATATGGTCCAGAAAACGTCAAGTCTTTTCCAATGCAATTTTCTTCAATGTATCTTAAAAGTTTCTCGTTGTTTTCTTTCTTCTTTCGCTGAGATCTATGTCGCAAATTTGATAACTCCTCGCTAGGAATATCGTAGAATTTCCTCGATCCGTGTATCTGAGCCGCCATTTTGAATCAGGCTTGAACCCAGGCTTTTTGAGGCGCTGAAGTTGGAGAAGCTAACCGCTGAACAACCCTCCCTCCCAGTGTTCCGCAGTGCGCAGCTGACATTTTCAATCAGGGTCACACTGGATGAGCGAGTGATCAATAGATGAAAGTACGAAAAACACACACCGATCGTGACATGTTATCGACCTTTTTTTTTTAATATTTTCAATTGGTCAAACCTTTCAGCAGTGCTCTTTTTCTCATGCCTTACAGGAATACTCCTTATGAAATAACAGTCTTCAAAAATGGCATTTATTTCCTCTTCATTAACCCGTCAACTGAAAAAGTGGCCGAAATGAACTTCCTCCTAATAACCTTACAAATAACTTAAAAAAGGTCACTTTTTCTCAATTAAAAAGAAGAAAATTATAATTTTCAGTTTGATAGGCATACAATAAGCGCAAAATTCTTGGCATTATTACGTGGCAAAGGCAATGATCACTTACTGTTATCTACACATTTAAAGGCTTCATGACGTAAATTGGGAAAATTTTAAGATAAGTGATAAATACATAAATAGAACAACCTTCGCAGTAGTTTTAGTGTGATTTTTAAGATATTCAGATGGGCGGCACAAGCGTAAATACCAATCTGCACAAGCTTAATTATAGCGGAGCTCGCAGAGCGTAGCCCCATAATTATACAAAATAGTAGTAACCCATCAAGCCGAAAAAATTTGGATGTACGACCGTACGACCGTACGACCGACCGTACAAGGTGCTACTTTTAGCATGCACGGCTAACTGTACCACGGGCACTATCTTCAAATCAGTCCTCTACACGATAACGGAGAAGTTGCGAATGAAAATCCATTAATATTACCACGCACTTTATCCATAGTAGGGGCTTTAGTTTTGTTGAAGAGACGTGCGGGAAAAAAAAATGCGAGCTCTGCTTTTAGGCTTGCCTAAATCTATATATTAGGCAATATACACAGACACCAATACAACAGGAAATTCATTGCAACCTTGCTAATAATAGACAAATCACCTGTTTCTATATAAGACAAAACATAGATTGATCGGAAAGATCAAGCGATACGCTCCGCCTACAGTACATTTCAAGTGCGAACTGCATTTAACAATGCACTGAATACAAAAGCTCAGCTCACAGCTATATTTGTCATTAAAAATTGAGAACGATTTTAATCGCTTTGTTACTTTGATCTAACGAAAAAGATTGCCTCTGGTCTCATGAATTAGTCTTGATCCGTGCGTTTTCATCCCAATTTTACCTTCTTTTGTAAAAAATTCAATTTCAAAAATATTTCTCAGTTATTTTGGTGGGCTTAATAATTCTTCCTAAATATCAGTTGTTTGTTGTCAAAAGTGTCTCCGCCTGCACGACGTATATTTGCGTTCAAGTTATCGCCGTCTTGAGAGTAATGAAGAGGTTTCTTTCCGAAATACTTAAGAGCGAAGATTAAGAGCTTATATTTGGCTTAAAAGAGTTTATGACGTGTATTTTGACATAAAAAGCAATAAAAAAAAAAACAATCGCTATAGCAACTTAGCTTCTATTTATGCACTGAGCGTCGAACCATCTGAACTAAAAGCTGGCAAGAATCAATGCATTATGTGTCCAATGACAAGCCATGTTCGTTGAAAAACTGAAAAGAACGGGAATTCGCGCGAAAGCCCTAAAAATCATTTCTTGCGCAAATTAGAACGAAAAAACATGTAATTTACCATTAGTCCCGAATTCGAGAAAATTTAGATGTAGCAAATCTGAAAAAAAGGTTTGAAACCGAACTTATTACAAACAAAAATTAGGCCGAACGTTCAAATTAAATTTTTATTTTATTTTTATGATGTTGTAACACGTTACATTCAAATTTTATCGGCTTCAGCGAATAACCTAATATCATTCTGTTAGTGGCCAAAGAAGTTTCATCGAGCAATTTTCCAGATTTAGCGGAAAAAAATACCGTAAAAAAATTGTTAATCACAACAAGAGGGTTTTTTGGTTTGTGTACGTACTTATAAATGCATTTCTTAACATTCGTTCCACCGCTTCATGTTCCCACTACAAATGAAAATATACCACCCATCAGAAATTTAAATCACGATCATTCAGAACCGCAAACGTTTGCCCCAGCCAAACAAGAGAAAATCATTTAATTCGCAAAAGGAGACTCTTGCAAAAACAACGATTAAACGCGATATCAGGTAAAGAACCTGTGAATTTCAAAACAGAAAGCCTCCAAAGATACATTAAACACGCTTTCTCAAAATGGATGCTCACTGGTGATCTAACTTTTAACTTAAGCCTTCGGCCTAGAGTTAGCCCTAGCCCTCTGAAAGGTAAATTTCCAGGTCAAATATTTCACCAGCTGAAATAAAACTAACTCGTTTGAGTTAAAAGGTCTATACTAAAAATGCCTTGCTTTGTTTATATTTTTAGCAAAGGAATTAGAAATTTAAAGCAGGTGAAAATTGAGTCCGAAAATAGCATTTGAAAGGAAACGATTGCACCTTTCTGCTCGAAACTTAAATCCAACTATTGCCAAAAATATCTTTCCAAGGTGGTTGCAAACATATTCAGCGCGGCAAATATTTAATTTGATTCTTGCACGTTTGAGTCCCGCTTGGCGTTAATTGCTTCGAAGAAAGGCACTAGTTTTTGAGATAAATTGTTACTAACGAGACTAAAATCTCTGAGGTTTCAATTGAATTTTTTTTGGTTAAGAAAAGGACGTTACAGGAATTAAATAGCTGCCCGTCTTATGCTGAGCGAAAAACGGAAGCGGTAAAATGCGTTTTAAACGCGATTTTAAGAGCTTTAAGAAATGATTCACGTACTTTTACTGTTATCTCACTATTGTTAGTCTTTCTCAGTGTTCTTAAGTGCTCTTTCAGTTCCGTGAACAAATAGCCATTAATCTACAGAACAAATTTGTTTTAAAAGTGTTCATATATGTAAATTTGCCACCCTTAAAGCTCGTTGACAGCTGAAATTACCGCTCAGAACATAATTCAATGGGCGCACTGACTGTTTAAAACCAACAAATCTTTTTATTAGTTACAGATATTAAAACATACTCGGTACCACGCAAAGGAACACACAGAAAAAATCAACTTTATGTAGAAATAAATTTTGTTATGTACAAAAACCTCCCGTCGTGAAATGGCGGAGTCGCTACTGATCTCACTGGCCTGAGAAATTTAGCCTCACATATGCAAAACAGAGGAGGAGAAGTAAAGAAAGAATTTACTTTTGCCTTCATCAGTATAAGTGTTTCAAACTTGCAGAGAAATTCTATAACGAATTTGAATGAGTGTTTTTCACTTCAGAAGTCTCGGGGACACTTTTTAGTGACCTTTGAGGCTGCAAAAGCTTTCTCGTTGGGAGGGATTGCATGTTTGTCGTATCAGCTTTTGGCGGTAAAGTCGGAACTTGAATACTGATTTCTTCTCCAACATTGCCTTCGATGTCCCCACTCATGTTCTCGCAACTATTCCTTTGCTCAAGCTCATTCATAACAGTTAATATTTCTTCTAAGCTGTAAAGACCCTTTTCGGAATCGCTTCTGGAAAGAACCGGCGTGCGCGCTCCCTCTTCACCTTGCGCAGAGATCTTATCGTTGACGCTCGAAAGCCTTCTTCGCAATGGAGATTCCTCTGTGTTCAAAAGCGAGAGAAACTCGCCAAGGTCATATAGAGAAAGGCTCCCGCCGGAATCCTGGCGTGGGAACAGTTGTGGTCTCGAGGAATTTTCCCTGCCATGACTCGGACCGGCTGGTTTTAACGGGCCAGTAGTTTTGGCAGAATTTGATTCCGATTCACTTTCGCTGGATTTAGTCGATGCAGATGACACGCTAGATAATCGTCTTCTCAAGGGAGATTCGTCTGCATTTAAAATGCTCAAGAACTCGCGGAGATCGTAAATAGAGCTTCTTTTACGCGATGGATCAGACGCACCGCTAGGTTCTGTACTTGGTACTGGAAGAAAAACATCTTCGTAAAATTCGCTGTCGATGCTTCTGTTGGATTCGTCAGTGACGAGTATACTCACACCGCTTTGCGAAACTCCGGAAAATTTTCGCCTCAACGAAACTGCCGATGAAAGCTGTTGCTGATGAGTTGCCGACGGGTTTTGTTGAGCGGCATAAAGTGAAAGGAACTCTCTAAGATCATACACAGACATGTGCCGACTGTTCTCAGTTACATCCATATTTTTGGGTGCGTCTGTTGATGCTACTTGATCACTACCGGTCGAGTAGCCACTGTTCTCTATTGTTGGAGTTACGGGAGAGGAACCGACAGTACATTTGGCGGGTACATTAGTTGATTGCGTAAGTGAAGATTGACCAGTTTTTTCGGCTTCACGTTGAAAATGAAACAGCATCTGGCGTAAATTAGACGCAGACTCATGCCTTTTCTCATTTTCCTGTTGTAACACGCTCAGGATTTCACTTAGGTCATACACTGACCCTCTCGGCTGTTGCAAATCTCTTTTGGCACCTTCTTCAGAATCCGAAATAGTTTTGCTACTATTTGTTTTTTGCTCTTCTTCCCAAGGTGTGACTCGCACAAGCGGTGGTATATCAGATGTCATAGACAGGAATTCTTCCAGATCGTACATAGATAGACTTCGTTTCTCTTTAACCTTTTCGGTACCTGAATCGCTCATTTTGCTTTCTGCTGCGCTAGAGCCTTCCTCGTGAAGAGCTGGGCTGCTAGGACCTGAATCAGGACGCGAATTACCCCCAGAACGCGGCAGAGATAGAAACTCCATGAGATCGTAGGTAGACGCTCTCCTGCTTTCCTCACCACTGTTGGCAACTGAGACGGATAGCAAGTTATTTGAGCTAGAGCTGGCATGCGGTGATGATAAAATTCGCGGTGAAGTCGAACGGCTCGAGTTTTCACTTGTGGATCCAGAACCCGTTTCACTGCTATTTCCAAGAGTGAGAAACTCCATTAAGTCGTAAACTGAGCCTTTTCTACCGTCTTTCTCTCTCCCAGGAGGTGCGAGATGCGACGACGAACTCGTCTGTGAGTTATTGGCGCTTAATTTGTTCGTTTGTGTCTTTTTTAGTTGCCCTGCGCTCGAAGCTTCGGCCGCCGCCATTAACAAGAACTCCCTTAAGTCATAAACGGACTCACTGGGTTCCCTTCCGCTTGCATTAGAGGTGGCGCTTGCATTTCGAGATGATGAAGCTGTGTTGGAAGCCTGTCGCTTTAAATCCTCTTTCTGTAGCAAGGTTAATATTTGTTGCAAGTCGTACAATGAATTCCTCTTTTCTTCATTTCTCGGTAGGTCTAACATTTCGACGTTGCATTCTGTCAAAGCATCTCCTCTTTGCAATTTTCTCTCACTCTGAGAGCAGCTCTTTCCTTCAATTTTCAATACATCGACATCGGCATCATAAACTAGATTTTGCTTTTTCAATGAGGGTCTTCTTCTGTCAACAAACTGCTCCGCGTCCGTTATATCGTTTAATGACTTTCGACCTTTTTGCTTGATCTCTGAGTTAGCAGATTCACTGCAAACCGGTGAACTCGGGGTGCTCTGTGGTAAATTTGCAACATCAATCTTCCACCGTTGATTACTGTGATTTCTGCGTTTCCCGCCGTACTCTTTTGCTTTTTCCTCAATCTTAGCATAATTCTGTACTTGAGAGAGCTTTGATCCGTCGATGTCCTGAACAGCGAGCTGTGGACGGCTTGAGGGGTCGGATCGGACAACCGGCATAGAACCTGCTGCGAGAGAAGATAACGAATGCTCGCTGATATTTCCGTCGGCGAGCAGCCGCATATTTTTCTTTCTATTAGATAACTCGGGCGAAGATTTTACCAGCCTGCGCGATCTCGTCAATTTCTTCGTAGGTTGAAAAGTGTTGCTTCCCCGGCGGGACAAGATTGAATCTTTGTGTGCAGGGAGAAGTTCTCCATTGCCAGTCAATGATAACAAAGCGGAGCTAGAACCTAACCGTTGACAACCTGCCCTCTCTTTTTCGTGTGAAACATTTTCGCTGTCGAAAAAACTTGTTTCGTCTTCATTGGTTTCCTTGACAGCTGCTTCCATAATTAATTTCATTTCATCCTCGCTCTTGTTGTCGTATTTTTTTAGTTTTTTCGAACGTCCTTGGAGTCTCAAGCTCCCCATTTTGTCTGTTATTTTCATTGGTGATCTTGACATCGCAACTTCGGTCTTTTCGCTTGAAACTGCGGTTGGCGTTTCGTTCCGAAACCTTTGAGCGGTTGATGTGGAGCGAAGTGAATCCAATCGCACGATAGGAGGAAGTCGCACAAGGCCATGTTTATCGCGGACGATCCCCAAATTTCTCTTGGAGTCTTCGCCGTCGATTTCAACGGAACCTTCTTGGCTTATTGGTGGAAGCTTCAAGTAAGAATCTCCAAACGCGAAAGCCATAAAGACACCTCCAAGCAACGGTAATTTGAACCGCGAGAATAGCGTTGAAGTTTGTAAACAGTTGTAAACTCGTGCAAAAGCGACACCTTGTTACCGCCACACTGTTTTTCTGTCGAGTATCGACTTGGAATGATATCTAAACAGCAAACATCGCAGGAAATTGCCCATCCATGGCGCGCTTCAGCTAATGATTGATGTTTTGAGACTGGAAACAGAGCAACTGACGGAAGGGGCATTGAAAATGACGTCGACTACAATAACTGAGACTTTTAGTGCATAAATTAGCAGGGGAGCCTATTTTTGGTCTCAATGTTTTTCTTCAGTCGATGGCAGCCGGATGCGAGTTAAATCCACCAATGGGCTGCAAGCCACTGACTCAAAGCGCTTAAATAAATGGAGTTCACTTGAACCATTAAGATCACTTTTACGTCAAAAACGACGAAAAATATAGTTAGCGCTCAATCGTGACAGATCTGGCTCGATAGATTTTATTTGAACAATTAACCGTAACCCTAAAAGGTTTTTTAACGTAAACTCTGACTTCGCAAGGTGCATCTGAACGAGAAAATATCATTAATTGTTTAATTTCAACAGTAAACTCTGACACCTCCTAAATGAGCCACATTTTAATTAAACCTTTCGTACTCAGGGGAGAAATGCTAAATTATGTCGTAAATGTTAGTCTTACAGTCTTCACTCGGTAAACAAAATTCAAACAGCAGGTGTTGTCGGTACTAAGTGCGATCGAGTTTCGCAAATTCGCATAGGGCTCAATTGTCCGAGTAACAAACGAACGAGCTGTCTTCCAATTGAATTCAAATACGCATCACTTTTATACTCCATAGAGTTACACTTGGTTATTGTCTGCAAAGTACTTGACTATGTTCTGATCGATCAAGTTTTCGTTCAGACCTTCCAGCTGACTGAAACTCTAAAATCTCAAATTTTTAATGCCACTAAGGAAAACAAGTGAAAATATTAGCCTAGATCTGTGATTGACATGAAAATTATGCCGAAATGAGAAATTATTTTAAAATGTTAGTCTGAAATTTAATATTGAGTTTCCTTATTTTTGGTGAATTACCGCAGCGATCTTCATAAGAGTTTCGCGATCTTCCTTTTCATTTTACTGAAGTCCCACATTTCTTACTGCTTGCCTATTGTTTGCTTTTTAACATAAATGGCTCCATTACAAAGCGCAGTCCTCGCTAAAAGCAAATTAGTGATTCTCTCCGAAGGAAATTGCGACTTCACAGCTTACTGAAAAATTTGCATAAATTTACGTGGGCGAGAATTACACCACAAATTTTAAGGAAAAAACAGAAAATGGAAAACACTTGATATCGTTTACGCTACTGACATTTCTCATTACTACGTCATCGGCTCCAAAAAGAACTGACAAATTTGTCTTTAAGCGAGTGGGAGGAACTTTGTACCAATTTCAGCCACAATGGAAATATTTTTTTTTTGATGGTTGGAAATTCGGCCTCTTTCAAAGAAAGAAACACTGAGTCGCTCCTATCGTTCAAGTTTCAGCGTGTAAATATTAGTGTTGTTGTGCAGCAAAACATATTACCATATTCGTTTTTTGAATAAATGGTGTTTTCTATGCAAACATCTTTCTTCCCTTTGGCCTTTAAGCAAGATAACAAAATATTCTGTACATTAAATGGCTTTGGTAAGTTAATTGGCGAAAATTTTCAGAAAGTGCAATTAGATAGAGTACCTTGGGCTCTATCTACTTGTTTGTTTCCTATCCCCTCTATTCTTCAATTACATTTTTCCCTTTTAAGCCTAGGCTAAGAGGGATGATCTTTTTTCATTAGTTATTGAAAAACGCCAACTGGTCATCAATTAGTAATCCGATGTCTATGTTGGAGTTTTCTCTGAATCTGTATACAGCTTTGCATGACTCCTTAGATATAAATCGAACTGATATGCACTTTTAACCGATCACAATATCCTAAACATGATAACAGGAAAACGATAAAAAAAAAACCTCTGTGTTTTTTTCCTACATCATTCTCGAAAACTCTCGACTATATTTTTTTTTTCTTCGCAGAACAGAAAACTCAAGGGAGTCAAAATCCGCGTGGTAAATCTCAAGACAAAAGCTCCTGCCTTTCGAACCGGTATGGAAATCAAAGGGCTGGGGTTCTGTCGTATGATTGATTATCACAGCTTCCAATATTCCCGGACAAAATGAATGAGAATATAAACAAAAAACAGACAACGATTTAGAAGTCCAGCTCATTTAAAAATCGTAGGCGAGTTGCGTGCATTATTTTTCTGCAGAGGAGCTCCACACGTACGACTTTGTTATCGACAGTTAGGCTGCACGCGGCCTGTGATTGATTTCTGCATATATCCACGAAAAGATGCATTTCGGGAACTTTATAAAAACATCAGCCTCTGTTGGGTGCGTAGATATGCCTACTTCCTTAATTGATTATGGATATTGTTAGAGCTTATAAGATCCGAGAAGAGAACAGTTTTTTGCTAAGCAAAGCTCGAGGAGGATCATGACATGTTGTTCGCTTCAATGATTAGATAATGTCCATGAAAAAAGATTTAAATTTATTTTAATGCCAAATGAGGGCCTCTTTCTTGGCCATAATTCAGTCGACTTCAGTAAGAGATTTTTTGGGTGCGCTGAGCGAAACTTCTTGGAAAAGTTGCCCAAAAATAATTTACTCTTTATGGTGTCGACCGTATAGCACTGGTGTAATTTTATGATCAAAATATGTTTCACTTGATCAATTATTTAGGAAGACTTTCATCGGACTAAAGTCAGGGATAATGCGGCTGAAGTTTATTCAGTCACGAGTCAATTACACGTGAATTTTAAGGCCAGTTTTTCAACTATGGGTGTTGTTATCCGATTTTCCAGAAATCGAAAACGGTTTTTTCCCTAACCTTTTTGTTACTTCCCAAAATCGTGCACTTGTTTCGTGCACTTGCGTAAAGACACTGTTTGCAGATGGTGGAACATAAAAGTTTACAGATGGCGGAACATAAAAAAAACCAGTTAACAGTGATGTCTTGATTTGATAGGCTTCTCATTTACATACTTTACCTCTGGCCTGCAGAACACGGGTCACCGTTTTCAATAATTTTAATTTATCTTTTACGCTCTATTTTATTATTATCAAATTTTTTCATCTTTTTCAGATGAGCGCGCGTGCGACAGCGGGAGGAAGAACGCGAAGAGAATGATTCTCGCTTCGCGCGCCTGAAAAAAAAAAACATGAAAAAAATTAGTATAGGTAATCACATGATTTCGAGTGCAATTTGGAACAAATAACCACGAGTTAATTTTTTCGAAGACTAACAAAATTGCACGAGCCCGTAGGACGAGTGTAATTTGTAGTATTTGAAAAAAATTCTCAAGTGCTTATTTATTCCAAAAATCACGAGAAAAATCATGTGATTACGTATTAGCCATATACGTGACAAAATACGAGATAGTTTTAATAAGTGTGCAGAAGCAAAGCGCGCATTAAATGCGACAATAATTTATTCAATCCCTGTAAGTTACATTGTGTTTTCGGTCAAAACAACCCAACACGATCAAAACAACGATAGACAATAATATTTTCACATCTTTAAGGCGCAAAAAAGTTCAAAGTCCGGCTAAACAGTTTAAGGAATTGTTCAGTCTGTGTGCGAATCACTTTCGTTGAAATGGAATCGTCGTTTGCGAGGTTTAATCATGTTTGTTTTTAATTTCGGCGTAGAATCGCTTGAGCAAAGTGTTAAGCTGAGTCGGCTTGTTCTTTCGATTTCCTTAGCAATTCCCTTCTCTAAACACCATTTTTCCAAACCGACAACCAAAAAGCAGTGCTTTTTACATCGCTTTCGTTGTTAGAGCTGTTTTTCAGCTGCTGTATTGTTGTTTCGGTGGCGAAAGAAACCCTACTTAAAACGCCGGCCATTGTTTCGCCCGCAAATTTTCAGCGTATCCAAATGTAGCGACATCCGAGGCTCGTATTTGATTGGCTATCTGTGAATTTCTTTAATTATTGACCAATCAAAATATCTGGTTTGTTACTTCTTTGCACTGAATCAACCCTCTTCTGCATTAAAGTACCTGAAAACTGCATTTATCTTAACCAATCAGAACTGAGTAATTAATTATTTTTGCATGTATATTATTAGGCCTGTCGATATCCATATCTAATTTTTTTTCTTGTCGTTGCACTAATCGGACAAACCTCAAATCGTACAAGATTTAGTTTGTAATGATTAAAAATACAAGAGGGAGTGAGCTAATTTTCAAAATTACTCAGGTCTTAAAGTTCACATTCGAAATACTAGAAAAGATTAAACAAAAAGAAAAACAAAAGAGAATGGAATTAAAGTAGTTCGCATGATTGTCCGTATTTGGCGATTGATCGTTCCATGCGGCTCTGATTGGCTAATGTTAATTATACGCGGGAAAACTGGGGAACTTGAATCCTCTTTCGGCGCCAAAATTGAATCACTTACCTCACTTCGCCTTCAGATCAAGTTCGTTTGGAATTGTGCAGTAGATATTTCGCTTTTTGGTTACCTTTTTCAACAGAATTTTCTTTGCACTATGGCCGACAACTCAAAAAAAGAGAAGAAAATCAAGAAGCCTTCCTCTTACGTCCTCAAACGAAGTAAGATTTTTGTTTTTCCTTGTGCGAACTGCGCTGGTATTGGCCGCCATCTTGTTCATGTACATGTTACTTTAATTGGTCTTTCTCTTTCAGATGGAAAAGAGGAGGAAATCAATCTGAACAAAGTCACTGCCAGGATTAAAAAGCTTGGTTATGAGCTCTCTGATTTTGTCGACACGGTAAGATTACCTTTGCGTGTAAATCAGTGAACGATCCACTAACCGAATTGGACAATGACTTATCTTTTGGCGCCAAAAGGCAAAACGAAATCTACCATTTATCGTTAGATTAATGGTAAATGCGTATGTTTCTTCGATGAAATTACATATTAAGGACTAGTTAAATTCGTGGAACCCCTTGGTATACCATTTTCCTTGTCGTCTTCAAGTCAATTTCAAAGATCTTGGCGCGCAATTTACAACTGCCTCTGTACCGTACACTCTTCCATAACAAAAGCCACGCTGTATAAGCTCGTCAGAAATCCGTACAGTGATCGTAGTTTACATATTTATTCCTATTTTCTCCATTTTTAACATGGATTTACCAATTTGTATCGCCAATGGCGTTGGTACGAAATTTATATTGTTCTCGGAAAAACTCACGATATTCATAATTTGCTATTGGAAACAATTTTAGCCTAAACTGGTTGTGCATTAAGTACTACTGAACATTTGTAGGCGCAGTTTGCTTAGATGGGCTACTAGTTTTAAGATTTTTGAAAGGATAATTGATACCTCATCGAGGATAGCGCGAAATCCAAACCACATGCGTTTCAAAGAAAGTCAAGAAACGCACTGATAATAGATTGTAGAGTGTACTTTTAACTCTACACGTACACTGCTACGGAAAGCTATTGTGCAGTCAGTGCAGTAATGAAACAAATATATGTACTTGGGTTGTTATTAAGCATGTGTGTAAAATTATCATGTATTTATGAGGCACGTCACACTATTAATACTAACGAGAATAAGATAAGAACTTATGTGCGCTAATTGGGGACACTTGACCACAATTAAATATCTAATAAGTACTGAAAATATGAGATATATGTACATGTGTAAGTATTGAAAAATATATAAAATTATCAATGAGTCGTGCATTAAAATCGAGGGTCAGTAGTCCATTAGGCTCGTGAAATAAACCATTTTGATGTGCTTGTGTCCAATGGTTCCGATAGTTGGATAGATTTGTCCAGTTTGGTCCAAATGACAGGGCCTGAAGAACTCTGACTATTTTTGCTATAAGCAACAGTACAAAATTTGGGCACCAAGTTGCAGATTGTCTCTCAGATATTGCAGTAACCATTCAGTTTACCCTCAATCCTTTAACTCCCAAGATCTGATAAAAATTTCTTCCCTCAAGTTGCTACACGTATCCTTGTCAATTATTAGTTGAAAGAATTTGGTGTGAGATCAAGATAACATTTAAACTGACAAGTCTAGTATCTGTTAGATAATGTATGGATATCATGGGAAGTAATAACATGTTTATCACCTCGGAGTTAAGGGTTACAACTTGATTTTCTTTTCCATGATTCAGTTTGAGATTGTCAAGAAGGTAATTGATGGCATCTACCCTGGTGTAGCCACAACTCAGCTGGATATACTTGCAGCTGAGATTGCTGCCTCCATGACAACCATACATCCTGACTATGCTGTCCTTGCAGCCAGGATTGAGGTTTCTAATCTTCACAAAGAAACGAAAAAGATTTTCAGTGGTAGGTGGATAGGTTGTAGTCACAACCACATGCCTTATGTCTTACTGCTCTACCTCTTCTCTACCTCTTCTACTCACCTTTATACCTTTATTCCTACAAGATCTGGCAAGTACTGTAGTATGGAAACCAAGAAATCTCTTTGCCCACAGATTTCCACCTATAATCAATTTTAGTCCCCAAAACAAGTGAAAGAAATTTTAGAAATTGTTTTGCATTCAACCTTGTACCCTTACGAGTGAGTAGCCCCTAACTTTTTGTCACAGTATCATCCGTGAATCATACTTAAAGGTCACATTCCAAATGGATTTATTTTGCATGGTTGTGCATCCTTCTCTTATTTTCTTGTATTTAATAATTTTTCCCATAGAGGTAATGACAGATCTCTATAACTATGTCAACCCAAAGAATGGTAAACATTCTCCGCTGATCTCCAAGGAAACTTATGACCTCATAATGGAGAATGCCGATGTAAGTTTATAAACCAGGCACAAGCTTGTTATCTATGTTAGAACACTATTACCCTAATTATTAGAACTGACACCTAGTCCTTCATTAAAGCAAATAGATAACTTTGTTCTGACAACGGGGGGAGCACTGGGAATGTCAGCTTATGGAACTCTTTACTTTGGCTAATTTACGTCCTGAAAGCCAAGTAATCGTGGTTACATAGTTTATATCTGAGATGTTAATTTAATATTTTCTAGAACGCAGCCGGTTTGAGTGATAACAATATGATATGGAATATTTGTATTGGGGTTATCTGTGACTATTATTAGAACAGTTGGGTGGATTTGAATTTTAGAGAGTTGCAACAGATGCAAGTACCTTTTTTACAACCCTGTTTGTTCAACTGATTCACTTTAAGAATATAAGACCTAATTTTTATAACCTGTGTTCTTTAATATCTTTGCCACCTGTTTGTGAGAATTTGAAGTCATATTAGAGCTCTCCTTGGTTAGATCAATATATTATCAAGGCAATGTTACTTAATGAATATGATAATTTGCCAGTTCGTTCACTAATCAGAGTAAAAATAATATTATCAGAGACTGGGCCCAAACGTAGTTGCAGGGCGTGAAATTGTGCCCAATACAGGTGCCAATGTGACTAAATTTTTCACTTCGGTGACCAAATCCTGAAAATTAGTCGCCAAATTGGCAACTAGAGTGCTTCATCATAACCTTACTTAGAGATAAAGTGAATTAAATTGGACATCCTAGTGTCCAATTCGTAGCATGTTAAAGATCTTTTTCCTCACTTAATTTTGGAGGGTCTATCTAGAACACTGACAGCATTTTAAAAAGGTTTTATTTGTCTTTAAAAATGGTGACCAACTTTTTTGGCTACCACTTTGAAAAATTTAGGAGCCAAGTGGCTATCAGAAAAAAAAGTTAATTTCATGCCTTGAGTTGAGTTTTGATTGACACTGCATGTGCGTGCAGTCACGCGTGTTGCTTTTAAGGAAGTGTTATTTCATCAGGAAAAGGTGTAAAACAGTTGGAAGAAAATCTGTGATTGTGACTTCAGGGTACTACACTTTTATTGCCTTAGAGGCATTCCCGAAAATATAAGCAATCTTGTTTTGTTTACCAATATTTAAACCTGAGATTAAAACAAAAATCCTCAATTATTGCCTCTTTTTTTTCTTTCCCAGAGAATTGACTCAGAGATCATTTATGATCGTGACTACCAATACAACTACTTTGGTGTTAAGGTATGAGTGTGGACTCTTCTTATTCAAGTGAAGTTAAACCATTCTTTCCTACTCAATCAGGTTTAAAATCTTCAAAATGACTCTTTCCAGACAATGATGAGGTCTTACCTGCTTAAAATCAATGGCAAAGTTGCTGAACGACCACAGCACATGTTGATGAGAGTTGCACTTGGAATT